AATCCGAGCTCATTTTGGCTATAGCTCTTAACAAGTTCCTACTTGGGCTCCTAAAATCGATCAGATGCTCATTTGAGTTCGGATTGGGAAAATTCCAAAACTGCAATCAAGTATGAACGTTGGTTTGTAAGGTTCTTCATTTTTTCACTATTAGAAACAACTACAAACAAATCCTTCTACATATATCAACTGTCTGCCACCCCGTTTTCTCGGTGCATTGAAAATTCGTGAGCACTACAAAAAACTACAAACGATTTTAGACACGAATCCGAGCTCATTCTGGCTATAGCTTTCAATCAGTTCCTACTTGGTCTCCAAAAATCGATTGGACGCTCATTTGATTTCCGATCGCGGAAATTCCAAAACTACAATCAACTACAAACGATTGCAGATAAGAATCCCACGTCATTTCAAATACAACTATGAAATAGTTCCTAACTGTTAAAAAAAATCGATTGAACGTTTATTACGATTCCGATCGTGAAATTTTCAGAACTACAATCAACTACAAACTATTGCAGACGAGAATCCAATGTCACTCCAGCTCTAACTATGGAATAGTTCCTAACTGTATTTCAAAAACGAATTGGACGCTCAATTTCAAACTACAAACAAGAAAAACGTTACTACTATCACCAGTAGCTCAAAATCGATCAATTATGAAATTTTGGTTCAAATCCAACCAAGTGGGGTGCCCACTTGACGGAGCTCTCCCCTTCCGTTTCACCACCCGGGGATCAACGCACGAAACACCTTAAGGTACTTCCGCAGTAAGTATACTTGGTGAAAATTTCGAAATGGTATAAAGACGCAATATTTGGATCATACGTTGTTGACCACATTAAAAAGATATTCCCAAAATTTCAAGTCCTTGGTCCACCCCATTTTTGAGATATGCATCGCCAAACATTCAATTTTTGTGTTTTTTCCATTTTTGACGATGTATATCTCGAAAATGGGGTGGACAAGGTACTTGAAATTTTGCGAATATTTTTTGAATGTGCTCAACAACATATGATCCAACTATTGCGTCTTTATACCATTTCGAAATTTTCACCAAGTATACTTACTGCGCAAGTTCCTTAAGGATGTATTGCACCCTTATCAGTCAGAAAATTTGAAAATTTCCATCTGTTCTAATCTTTAGTTTGCAACTAATGTAAGGGTCAATCACAACTTTCCATATAACATAAAATGAACGTAGGCGATTGGTAGACATCTAATTGCAGCCAGAATTTATCGCAAAAACGAATCGAAGATGAATCGGGATTGATTAATCGAAGATGATTGGGACTGATGGGATTGAAACAAATTTGATTCCATACTTACTTGCAGAATACTCACCCCTACACTTACGATCCCTGGAGGGCATCTGAGAACAAAAACATTGTGAGGGTTCTGATTGGAGCTCCCGGACGTCAGAGACGTGAATTCAGGCAGCAAGAGAGGAGGAGAATTGCTCAACTTGCTGAGAAATCATCATTACCATCCTCATCATCATCAGTATCATCATCGTATACTGGCTCTGCCGTAAAGGTAAGCTGAAGAGAACAACAATTTTCCTAGTGGTTACAGTTTATTTTTCATGACTGAATTCTGTGGTGAAAAGTTTGCTTCTAGTTTCAGAAAAACTGAAAGTACTAATACTACTAGTCTCGGTGAAAATTCTTCTAAAATTCTTGCAATCAAAAACATTTGCAAACTTTTCTTTCCAAAAATTCATGCAGTTAATTTTGTGAATATAGGGATGAATGGGGCAAAATGGGCACTGGATTTTTTTTTCAAATGTCAATGATTTATTGAATTTCAAGATGAATGGGATAATTTTTTTGACTTGGTAAGTACGATTCTTTGCCTTTGTAAGGGATCTAGACTCTAGACTCAACTAAATTGATGATTTTGTCATTGAGCTATGAACGTTGAAGAATATGTCAAAAGCGTCGATTTTGCCCCACCGTCCCTTTAGGACATCCAAGTAGTTCAGATATTTTTTTCTGGGGGAAATCCTCTTCAGAGTTTATAGAATAGACCAAGGGTATTTTTAGGCGCAATAACAACCTTAGTTTCCGAACATTTTTACGAGAAAACGAGTTTTGAAAAAATTAAATTTAACACATCGCGTCCATAAGAGCTGTATACTCCCACCCTCAATCCGATTGGTCATAGACTTGAAGCCTTTTCTCGTACACAGAACCGTATATGACTTTGTTCAGTATATTCTCTAGTTTTTTCGTGACATTGAAAAACATAAGTTTCCAGACGGATAACTGCAAACTATCAAATTAACTATAGATTGAATCTAATACTTTTACATCCAGTCTAGGATTATATCGAGACCTAATCCACATAAAAACAATCAGCATATGTGAATATAACTCCTTAGTTATTATTATTATTATTATTATTACTTTCTTTTTCTTTCTTTTTTTTTCTGTATTTTTTTTTCTTTTTGTAATCTTCACTTACACACATGTAACATCGCAGAATGAATCGAAAGGTTCCAATGCATATCAATAAAATCAACTATAGATTGGTCACCCTATGAGGGAAATCGCCGCGCGTTGTTGTTTAATTATAATTGGCTGGCTAACCGGGAAAATTCAAAAGAATTTACCGTACTGACCATCACTTTTCCCAGCCCGGGGATTGGTATGGACCCTTCCCCGAGCTGGCAAAAGTGAAAATCAGTAAGGAAAAATATCGTTCGCGCCTGGTGTCACAGGGGTTTTCAACGAGTGTGATTGGCACGCCTCGCCTTCGGCTCGGCGTGCCAACCTCGCACTCGTCAAAAACCCCAGTGACAATCGACGCGAAATCTACAGTCGCGGACTTAAGTTCGTGAACAGCCTGCACTTGCATCCTATGTGTTTTGTTCATGAACTTTAGTACCCGACTGTACTATTGACTTTGTCAATTGAAGTGTCTAAAAAATTATAGTAGTTTTAAGAACAACGCATTTCCCAAAATTCCTAAAAAAAACCAATTATATCAGACAGATGAATTATTTTTTCCCATGTTAAATGAAATTGCCCATGAGGCGACGTTGCCAGAAACTCGCTAAATGCCCTCGGGCAGTGCAGAGTGAATTTGGCAACGCTAAAGCCTAAATCACACGGCGGCGAATCCCCGCGGAGGTGACCAAGTCGCAGGGTCGCGTTTGGTGACCAGACTAGGGTTAAAGTAGCTCTTCGGCCTTCGTCCGGGCTACGCTGTACTTTTGTATATTTTCAGTTTTTAAATTTTTCAACTAAATTCCATGGAAAAAATTTGAAAAAATCCATACCCAGTCAGTATTATCTAAATTAAATTTCGCAAAATATTGATATTTTTTCAAACATTTCCCTCTTATAAATAAATAATGAAACTTGTTTGCAAAACGGTGGATTATTTTTTTTAAGGTGTCAAAAAAATTCTTCATTTTTTCACATCTACTGAAAAAAAATTCAGATTTAAATCTTTGATTACAATGGAAATGTTGATTTTCACATAAGACACTGGGTTAAATCCTGATTTTTAAACATTTCTTCTTTGAAAAACCAAAACGATAATTAAATTGAGAAAAAAATTTGAAATCCGAATCTTATCGAGTTTTCTGCAATTTCTTTGCAGTTTTCAATAATCTTTGAATTTACCGTAAGGGTAGAGCTACTTTAAAAATTTCTTGATTGGTGCGACGAACATGTTGAGTGGTTTGAATGCGCACGTTCCTGACGTCTGGAAACTGTTCGCTCAAGTAACAACGAAAGTCAAGTGTGAAATTGAATAGAATATTCTTCACAATATTAATTGAAGACATTCCTAAAACAAGTGGAAATTGCTCTTGTATCGCATATAGTATAGTTATTTTTGCTAATAAATTAGCAATATCCTTCCGAATGGCTATTTTGCACATAATTTCCTTGTATCATGTATAATCCATTGTTTATTTCATTTTATTAAATTGAATAGGATTTCTTTGCAACTAATTTTGTCAGATTTTCACCTTAGTTGAATGTTATCATCATCATTATTCTTATTATCCCTTTCTTGGATCCAACCGATTGTCATTCTTTATGGGTCTATCTCTCCCCTCAGCCCTTTAATAAAATGCTAATAGAAGAATTTTATTTATACATACTTGAATGAATTCGAAACCACATTTGAAGAAACTATCAGACAACTCACTTTCAGTAAAATTCATGAAAGATTAGAAATTTTCAACAATCATCAGAGAAATCAAGTCAACCAATGAAGCTATTGTAATCATCTTTCAACTTCGACTTATTAGGGAAATGTTTGTTCTTTTAAACAATCATTTTAAGCTGTGGTTGAATTCATTTGAAGCATGATACTGAAGGATACCCCCGCAATTCTGATTTTCAAAAAATACAAATTTTTTGCAAATTTTCAGATAAATAAAAGTAACGATTATTGCTATCGCCGTCATCTTCGAACTCGGTTGAAAGGACATTCAAACAAATTTTTTAAGCCATCATTCAATCAATTCAAAACAATTCAAAATTCAATTTCGAAAAAATTGAAAAAACCAATAGATGGTTTACATAAATTTTAATTAATGGCGATCGATGGGGCTCAGCAATACCTACATTTGAAAAAAAGATTCAATTCCATCCATCGATTAAAGAAAAACTTTATTATATACGTACGCACACACACACACACACATGTACGGACGAGGTCTAAAAATTACAGTTTCAAACTTTTTGGATCATACTAGGTCGATATAACACAAAAAATCCAAAACTTTAGTTTGAACGATTACAAAGCTTCCCTTCGGAAGCAAAAAATCTATTCGACAATGAAAAATCCGAAAAGATATGGGGATGGCAAAATTTTCGGCAAAACTGAAATGTTGCTTGAAAAAAATGCTGAAAACTTGAGCGATATCCTTAAGTATATCTGAGTATCTTTTACAGTTTAGTACAGACCACACTATAGATTTAATCATTTTCAATCATCAAATTTGGCAATTAAATAGCATGAGAAAATGTTGAAACAAATCATGAATACTGAATATTCATACTGAATAATTCACTGAATTATTTTTTTACCATTTGTTGTTTATAAATGAATAATTGAAATTGTTTACACTCTGGAAAACCCAATTCTTTTAGGCATGAAATCCAGTCCGGAAAATTATGAATATGAATAAATTTGTTACGATTCCGAACAAATGATTTTTATGGTGGAAAATTTACTGTTTATAAATCATTTATACAAAATGTTCGTAATGTTCAAAAATTACAATTTTTTAATTATTTTATCAATTTTCCTCAAATGGGGCTCGAATGAAAGCTTGGAGTTCGACTACAAAAGTAGAAAAGCATTTCGCTGGAGAAAAAATAACCAAAATACTTGGATATTTTTAATTTGTACTAGAATGTTCAAAATATTCATCGAATATTACCATAAATTTTAGGGTTAGTGATGAAGAGTCCTTCATCACTGGATGACAAGAGAATAATCATTCTTACAATCAATTCATAAATTTTATTTTCAAGAAACCACTGCAGCCAATTCGTCCGCCACATAACAAGTCGATTGCGGAATTCGGGCAGCCCAAGCCCCTTCGCCCACCTCGATCGTTGTGCACTGAACTTCGTAACTGAAAATTGGCTGACAGTTGTTAAAAAATCGTCACCTCCCTGCGGCCAGACAACGCGCGGTCATTCACTTTGCTCGAAGATCAACAACTGATGGTAATGCGAGGATTATGTACACGACGATGATGAGATAAGGAGTCCAACGTTTTTATTTATCATTATTGATTCTCTTTTTATTTTTTACTACTCAAGTTTCATGAAAGTTTCAACGAAACAGTCGTTTTTCAAAACTAAATGAAAGCAAAAAGTTCACTTGATATCCTTTCGTGTGAAAAAATAGGAATTCGATGAGTTTATTTTTTATCACTTATTTAGTTCAGTAGTAGAATATCTTATTTTGAATCGTTCAGTGTCCAAGTGAATGGAATGAATTAAAAATTATAACTTGTCGAACGTATGAGATTTGATAATATTTTGAATACCCGTGAATTTCTTAAGGGGGTTCACCACGGGAATAAGATTTCCTTATTTGTCGAGTAAAAAAAATAAAAAAATAGTATTTTCCGCGTGATTTTCCACAGAAATTCGATTTTGCAGGTCAAATTTGTCTTCAACTGCTAAAAACTAGAGATTCAATTTTTCTTTTATCGAAAAATCAACTTGAAAAAATCACCAACGTATTCTTTAAAAATAGTTTTTTGAATATAATCCCAAATTTGCATTCCTTAATTATGAAAAATACGAGAAAAGATACATTTTTTAAGTTATTGGTCAATTAAAAAAAGTTATTTTCAATGGATCTATTATATTTTTGAAATGTTTCATGAGTATCAATTAAAATGAGTGAATTTCCACAAAAAGAATGAAAAATTAATGAATACTGAGAGGAGCCCTCTCAACTATAGAGTTAATAAAAAACTAGGAAAATGTATGAGAATCACTAAACATAGAGTTAGCGTTAATAAATGAAGTTTATACATCATATTTGGGCAAGAAATTTCTTTTTCCTGAGATATTAATAGAAATTTTGATAAACGAACAAATTTCAAAATGTATCTCCTCCCGAATTTTTTATAATTAAGGAGCAAAAATTAGTGAACATATTCAAAAAAACTATTTTAAAAAATACAGAAGGATATTTGTTAAATTTTCGATAAAAAAATTGGAATTCCTAATTTTGATTCCTTTTGAAAAATCACGCGGGAAACAATGTTTGGAATTTTTTTGTCATGAAAAACGAAAATATTTTTTTCCCGGGTAAAGCTCCCCTTAAGCTTCTATGGAGTTGATAAACAACACATTATTATTCAAGCAGAACCAATCATTTATTAAAAAATGAATTTTGTTGAAGGCTTGCGTTGATTTCTGCAACTGGAGATTTGTTAATAGTTAAGAGTAATAAGAGCCGACAAATACGAGCGAACAAGTTGCATTCATTTGATAATCATTATATCGGCGTTTAAAGAAAATCAACACTTTATTTCATTGCATTAAGCTAATGTTCTGCAATAAATATACGAATTAGTTCAATCACTGCTCGGTTCACTCTGGTTGACAGAGGTCTGACCTCATACTTACCTCCTTACTGATCCATTCATCAATTAATAATAAATATTCAGTTGTTCCTATTCAACTTTAACATTAGGAAATTGTTGCCAAGCCTTGTAAATGAATCCTTCTACAAGCGCAGCAGAAAGTGTGGGGAGCCTTCAAAACAGAGATGGACTCTTTATTTTTTTACCAATCTTGAGTGAAACCATTTGCAGATTAAATATGAGGTATTCCATGTCAAATGAGTCAACGGCTGACCCTCACTGTTTTGGAACTGATTTCGATGTTTTCTACGATTGGGGGGGAGGGTCGAAAAACTATCTCAATTTTTTTTCAGATTTTTTCAAGACCCCATTTCGGGGATATGCTTTTTTCTTTATTTTTTAGTTTTTTTTCATGACCCGGGTTCTATTCAGCCGATATTAGTTTATGACGACTCAAAATTTTCCATTTTCTACCACCTATAAGAAGATTTTGGGTAATTTTTTTTTCAATCCCTAGGTGCTCATAATATCGAATTTTCAAAAAAACTATTTTTAAAAACTTGAATTTTGAAAATTATGGCACCTTTTATTTTTCTCATCTTTTTTTCAGCAACTCTTATAATCAAAATAAATATTTTGAGCCGTCATACAACTTGGGTTTCGTCCTGGATATATTTTATTTTTTAATTTTTTCTTCTCGAAATTCCGCGAATTTGGTCAAAACACTCCAAAACTATATCGATTATGTCTCAAGAAAATATGTAACATAAGTATACATTCAAATTTACTCCATACTGTTTATATTCAAAGTCAATCAACGCCATTTCGGGGTATCTTGACCAAATTCATAGATTTTCGAGAAGAAAAAATTGAAAATAAAATACATCTAGGACGAAACTCAACTTATATGACGGCTCAAAATACTTGTTGTAATTACAAGAGTTACTGAAAAAAGACGAGAAAAATAAAACGTGACATAGTTTTGAAAATTCAACTTTTTCGACTTTTTTTTTTAATTCAGTATTATATGAGCACTTAGGGGTTGACAAAGACATACCCAAAATATTCTTATAGACGGTAGAAAATCGAATATTTCGACGTATCATAAATCAAAATCGGATGAATAGAAGTGGAGTTATTAAAAAAAAAAAGTATAAACAAAGAAAAAATCATATCTCCAAAATAGGCTGTTAATAGTATATTTCAGCACGTGTGGGGCAATTTCGTCTTTAACGTGTGTGGGGTTTACAGCATGAGCCGAAGGCGAGTGATGTAACCACACACGTTAAGGACGAAATTTCCCAACAAGTACTGAACAAAATTTTATGTCACGAAGCCTGAAACCGGCTGAATTAGACACGAGACGCGAAGCGTCGAGTGTGTAATCCAGCCGGTTTCAGGCATGAGTGGCATAAAAAAATTTGAAAAAAATTGATAGTTTTTGTAGTCCCCCAATCGTAGAAAAAATCGAGATCAATTTCCAAGAGGGTGAGGGTCAGTCGTTGGCTTCATTTGACATGGAATACCTCATATTCACTCCTCCCTCGTACTAATTACGCATAAAATTATAAAAAAAGAGATTAATCGCGTTTTTGTCAGTCGATATTCTCAAACTTTCTGTTGTTACTACTGCTCCAATTCAGTTATTTCACGAGTATTCACAGCAATCAATTTATATTATTATTTACTTATGCATCTGATTGTCAGAATTGAAGAGACCAATGAAATAAAAATATAAAACATTGGGCCGAGAAATAAACTAAAATTGGAATTGTGGGAGGAATTAATCAACTTGTAGTGAAAGGACTGTCCAACGATCATTGTTAGTTGCATTGACAGTGTTTCATTGCCATTAAGAGGCAATAAATTATCTGTTTTTTCAAAAAAAAATCAGATTTTTTTATGTAACCATACGGTCATAATTAGTGGAAACGGAAAAATTTTTTTTTGATAATTTTCTGGGGAATTTTCTAGGGACATGTCGGGCAAAAATCCATCCAACCGGGCCTTAATTACTCCAGGTTTTCTACTATTCTATCATTTCCGATATCGAAGTACAATATAATCAAAGAAGCAAAGAAAATGTATTTTTAATAAATTTATGAATCATTTAATCCTTCATCATAATGCATATCTTTGTGCACTATTTATCTTAACATTTTTATGATCTCTTCTGGTCTGTGCAAAAATGTGATGAGTCTCACTTCCCAATTTTGAGATTTTGCGGAATCCACAGAGCCCTGAGAACAAGTTCCATTCATTCTTCGGGCTCTGGAACTCATTAATGAACACTAATTACAAATAATTTACATTGAAAATTTTATGAAATATAATCATGACATCTTATCGCAGATAAATCTTACCTTCGGCAGAGATCATCCTGTACACAATTCATCAATCTGATTGCAAATAATTTTCTCCACTCATCAGTGATAAATTTTAATCGATGATTTCTGGAAGGTAGAAATCGATATTCTTAATTAATTTAGTATTACGGACACTCGGAATCTAATACCTATCATAATGTTTGTACAACATTGTGGAATTTATGATTAATTGATTATTCAACTGCAACTGATTGATTACAGCCATTTCAGTTTTCTTTGAGCCACGCGCGTGTGTATGTGCGCCTCTGGATTTATTTCACTTTTGTCTTTTCAGTATTCTTGCGTAATTTTCTACTGCAAAAATACTCCGGCTTGTGCACTCGACTTGAAAATTTTATTGCTGACATTCAGATCGAATTATCCTTTGATTTCTAATTACTCATCAAATGAATTTTTGCAGAGAAGTGAAAACAGGTGAATCGAAAAATTTTGCAAAAATTTTGATTTTTCTGGATCAACTCATTACCGAGACAACTAGTTGATAAAAATGCACATAGACAATTGGATCTTTGTTAATTGGATGATCATCTCAGTGACGAGCAACATCAGTGAGAAATGTAGAAAATTTCAAATTTTTCCTATCCCTCCAGGAGATATTCGCAAAATATCAGGGGTGCCAATTATTTTCAAAGACTGAATTCTTGAATAAAAAATGATTGTATTTAATCAACGTATTGTCCATCGCTGTCTACAATTTTCCGTCATATTTCCTTATGGAAATTGTGGTGAAAAAAACTCGAATATCCTTTGGAGAAATCCAATCTAAGAACCCTTGAAAATTAATGAGCACACCTAATAATCAACATGAAATTATTAATTCCATCTGATTATTCTCATCTGCTTAATTACTGTTTTGCATTGTGGGCTTGATGTTAATTATGAGTAAAACATGGTATGTAAAACATTGACTAAACAATAAAACAAGTCTTAAGCTTCATTATTTAAAAAATTCATTTGGATTTCTTACGAGTAGATTTTTACAGCACCTAACGTTACTTTTGTACAAATATATTATTCATGTTGAGAAGTATATTTTCACAATTGGAAAGAGAAGGGGGTCGATTGATAAATAATTGTCGCAAAAGAAAATAACTGTACAGTTTTATGCATAAAAGCTGCTCGCAATTGTAAATTTAAAAAAATGATTGAGAAAAGAGCACAGAATATACAATAAGATTGTTTGTACATTCTAGTAAATATCTTTTATTCATGGCTTTATCAATTTACTCAGTGAGGCCGTTGTTTGTACTATCCGATCAATGATTGTCACATGTCATCATATTCATGTTTCAGAAAATTTCTCTCCACTTCTCTCCATCAAAATGGTTTTTCACTCGCTAAAAAAATCTCTGGTGAAGAATAATAAACCTTTTAATAAATCATCTTTAAATACAAAAATGTCGAAAAAATGCAGGGAAATGATCATTAGAAAAAATCTCAATGTCTCTAAAAAAATTGCAGTGGAATGCACGTCAATTACACTAGAAAATGTCTATGAACAATCAATAAAAAAAACATTTGGATGAAGAGATGTAGCAGTGAAGTGCAAAAACGTGGGAGAACAAGACTATTTTTCAAATCTCATCAAACATGGAATTATTATAATGAAGAATAAATTCAAGGGAAAATATCAAGAGATAAGTTTTGCAGGAAATGTTTTCTGTTATGAAAAAAGTTTCTCCATTCTTTTTTCTCGATTTTTTAAGAAAAATCCATGTGATAAAAAAATGAGAGACTATTTTGCGTATGTAAAGAGACACTTTTAATACGAAATTTATCTAGAACAGATAAAATATTTTGAGATTTTATCTTCGAACGACTTCTTCTCAAAGTATAGACAATTAACAAAAATAACAAATTCTGATTGTTACGTTTTACCACTCCACCACTGGATTATTTCAAACAATTTTGAAATAAAAGATATTTTTACAATTGAAATGTTCTTCTTTTTACAATGAGATAATTATTTACGTCGTTTGATTGATTCCATTAGCAGCACATTTTCCTTTTGTTCTCACCATCAAGAGCACTAGTTATTCCTTACAAAAGATCTTCATTGATGGAAGATGATGAATCGATCTGCCAACTAGGGAATTTCACACACACGCGCGATCTCACCTTTCTGTCACGCCCTTACCGAGTTATTTCCACATGGTCCCAAAACTGTACACAATAATTGTTTATTTTATTTGTCACATTCTCTCAATTTCAACTAATGAAAATGAAAACTAGTTGAACTACGTGGCATCAGAGTCTGTCTCGGATTTGATACGTTCAACGCGATAGCGATTGTAAGATCGATAGGGCGAACGACTCTGATCGTTATCGGTAATCACTCGTGTCCTGTGGGGAATCAAGTTCTCGTAACGACCCATTAACCAGTCTTGACAGAGTCGATGTTGCGAATCTGCTACGTTTTTCGATGCCCAATTCGACAGCCAACTGTGGAATTTCGCGTTGAGATTTTTCGTGATTGCGGGGTGACACTGGAAAATAGAATAAAATTATCAATTTTTTTTTCGTTCCAATTTTTTGTCCAATAAAAAAAATCGTCTCTTGTGAAAAGAGGATTAAATCCGACAATAAGAAAAAAAATATGGAGCACGTCGATAATTACCAAGATAAAAATTGCTTCATCTAAACATTCGAAAGTTCCAAATATGAATCCTCCTCGAATAAACTACTTAGTCGATATTAACGACAAATTCCTAAAATTATCCAACTGTGGAATAAATTTACTCCAGACATAAATTTAGTCTGGCGATTTGTTTGGCTAACTGAACTTGGTGCAACCATAATTAGTGGGTATCCGGTCTAAATGTTACTGTAAAAAATATTACGCCTTAATATTACGGTAAATAATATTACGATCCCAATTATTACGGGGTCTAATTATTATTGGTCGTTTTTATCATTGGAAGTAATATTGCAACGTTTTTACCGACGTCGGTGTTATTACTCATTATTATTTTCCGCTATTTATAGCATTTCTTTATCTCGTTAATTTGGTTATTTTACATTATGAGCACTTCCCCGCAGATAATCATAAGTATTGCAATTGTCATCCCAGCTTTGCACTAGGGTGGGCATGGTAATTATTTCAAGGCACCCGTGTCGAGCATTCCGATATAACTAACTTTTGTTGAAGAATCTTCGGTGTTGTGTTTGAAGAATAGAATAGAATAGAATAGAATAGAATATGCGCGGCTGGTCACTTAAAGCGCCCAGAGTCACCTAAATCATACGATCTTTTGTAACATCCGCCTTAGTTTCGGTCAGTCACATAGCCCTGTGTTTCTCACTAGGCTAATAAGGCTGGTGACAGCTACTTGTTGTAAGTCCTCTGGTACCAGGAAAGCCTGGCCCCAGATTTTATAGCGACGGAGTGCTAATAGGGGGCATTCACATAAAATGTGGATGACGCCCTCTTTATCGCCTCCGCACAGTCTGCAGTATTCTTGTTCTGCAAGTTTCATCTTGAACAGATGAGCTCTGAGAGCTGTATGACCCGTGAGGAGCCCTATTGCTACCCTTAGATCCCCTCTGTGGAGCTCCAGAAGCTTTCTGGGTTGTGTTTGAATGTTTGAGGGAATTTTATTTTGTTTTGGGGGATTAATATAATCGTACCAAGTACCACTTGTTGAGTAATCAATGGTAACTGACCTCACATTTTTTCACAACAAAGCTTGATGCAACCAGGCCTCAGTATACTAATTCAAAAATAAACTCTAAATTATCATTCGATCTAGTTTCACCAGTTCACACCTGAATTTTCATTTAGTCCACAGTAGAAAAAATCAAGGGTAGAGGTATGACACTGATACCATCATATTCAGAAAAATTTCCGCAGCAAAACACAACAGGATCGTCCCTTTCGCTCCAATACTCCCCGAGATATTTACAAAACAACTACTTCACCCGAAATATTGTTCATGAATATCTCGGAAGCTATCGGGTTGAAACTCACTGTCAGCTAGCGTTTTGAACCGGAAATTTTGCTGGTATTTGGATGGAATCCCATTGTCCCGTTTCCGCATTCACCGTTTTTCTGGAATTTTAGAAGTCGAGAGATGTTCTGAACTGAAGGCTTACCTCTTTGGCTCGTGCGAAAGAGTTCGGTTTGTACAGAAAAGCCTCCTTACTCGCTACGTAGAGCATGTGATAACTGTTGGGATTGAAAGTGCATTGGGTGTCGTCTGATGTTATTACATCGGCACCGTCACTCGTTCCCGTCATCCTCAGCATCGTAGGACTCTTTAGTAAATCACTGACACCATCGGCTTCCTCTGATTTTTCGCCCTCAGTGGCACTAAAATGAAGTGATTTTTCATTCATTAATTTTTTGAATTATTTGATAATAATAATCCGATAGAATTTTCAGTTTCCAATTCTCAATTTCTGTAATTTATTCTATTCATTCTATCAAAAGGCTAAAAATTGAATTTATGGGTATTCTTCCATTATTTGAAAAAATATGTCGATTTTAAAACTTCCCGGAAACATTGAAAAAAATTTTTTTTATTTCTTCCCGACTGTTTTTTTTGCATTTTTTTCATTTCTTCTCGTTGAAATTGGATCATAAAATTCTAAAATATTCATATCCCGCCCATATTCGAAGAAAAAATAGTGATTCCAAGTTTCCACCGACACAAATGAAGAAAAACAAATTTTCATTTTCGAGCCGATCATCCTTTTTTAAAAATTTTCAGACTCCAATTCGTGATTTTTGCAATTCATTGCCATTTATATAATTCTATTCATTCTATCAAAAGACAAGGATTCGAAATCCAATTTTTGAGTATTCTTTTAATATTCGAAAAAAAATCGATTTTAAAACTTCCCGGAGACATTGGAAAGTTAATGTTTTCAGTTCTTTTAAATTTGGAAAATTATATTCCCTCTTTCGAATATGGAATAGACTAATATATGACACGAAGAAGAAGGGGAGGTGGAGAGGACAGATTTAGAGTCCCTGATTCCCATTATAATTGACTTTTGCGATGAAAATTTGTTTCCGAAGTTTTTTTTTTGATTTTTTTTATCGAAAACCGTCATTTTTCGTTTTTTTCGATTCGTAAAAATCCTACTAGCCCTTCAATTTTCAATATTTTTCACCAACATTTTTTTGTGTATTCCATATGACCTACTGCAAAATCGAACGTGTGGAATTTGCAATCACTGAATTCCTCCTGTTAAATAAAAAAAAGAGTTATTGAAAAATGAAAATTCGATAATATTTCATACCTGCAGTGGGGAAACAAATACTTTTGCGGAGTAAATATACTAACTACATGAAAATCCACACATTTCGAATGCATTTGCATACATTTTAGATTCATATAGCGGAAAGTGGGGTAAAATGAAACAATGGGGCAAAATGAAACAGTCAAAAAACGATTGTTTTTACTCAATTCAAGCGAAATTTTTTTTGCATTAAATATATATTTTTATCAACTTTTTCTTATCCTTGGGAGTACTGATGAGAATAGTAATTTTCCATTCATCAGTAGACTGGAAAATTATTGAGATGCTTTAACGGGAGAAGATTTTGTCAATTGATTAATTGAAAAGAGAGTGAAACAGCAAAATCCCAACTCCAGAGGAAGCCCTAGGGGGAGACCCAGAAGGAGAAAAATGAAAATATTATGCTGAATTTCTAGCGAATGAAAAAAAACAAGTGTAATCGCCCTAATCTAATCAATTGAATTATAAGACAAATAGAAAATTATTATTCTCATCAGTACTCCCAATAATAAAAAAAGATAATGAACAAAATTTAATAGAAAAAATTCTTTTTTGCTTGAATTACGTCGAATAGTCGTTGTTCGTCTGTTTCATTTTGCCCCACTCTCCCCTACATTTATATATATTTACTTGTGGCAAGGAAATTGACTTCGCAGAAGTAATTTTTTTTCAATGTACACTTTTTTTAATGAAAAAAAAAAAATTTATTAAATCGTCGAATTTTTCCATCAACTATTTGTGGTGCTTGAAAAAAGTGGTGTGACCCCCCTCCCCCCAATTAATAGTTAATTGATGGATTATTTGAGCAATGAGTGATTGCAAAATAAAATGTCATGGCACATTTCCCATAATTAGTTCTCAATTCTCATAATTAACAAAAATGTTCCATTGTTAATCCCATTGTTCAAGTGTTACGACTTGAATCCCGAATATACTGATAAAATAAAATTCATACTCTGTATTTTTATCCGGATTACTCAACACAGCCGGCCTCATCTTCCTGGCAGCGTGCTTCCTCGATCGTCTGACATTTCTGTAGAGAAACACCGGTTTGCGACCAGCTAAGATCCTGCCTAAGGAGCTCCAACCATTTCCATCGATCTACAACAATCATCATCACTCGTTATTCACTCGATTCATCTTCGTGGCCCTCACTACCTATAGCAAACGACTCTGCGACGCTGAGACAGTTGTAAACCATTCTCAAGTCGTCAAATTCGTTTTGCCATTGAATTTTCATAACCAACTACGAACTAAGTATTGAATAATTAATTCGTTCGAATGATTTTTCGCGAGTTCTTTTCAATGTGTTAAAATTTGGAAGCATTGATTGAATCCATTCATCAATTGATTCGCTAATGCACTGCGTGATCAATTAATTTAGAATCATTTATCATCTAAATTTTGATAATTCATAATGATTCGTCTGAAGGTATAACTATCATCACGAGCAGTAAATAATACGAGGAGATTATTTCCTCAACCAATTGGCGCAATAAAACTGCACTAATGTACTACAATCATGCCATGTATAATATTACTCGATAATAATTAATTAATGATGAATTCTAAGATGAAATGATGATGAAAAGTCAAGCAGAATTCATGCACCACTACCTCAATTCTACGAACTAAGCGGAACTAAGTTATTCCATTCCAAGCCCAGAATGATGTCTACGAAGGTTGTAATTAGTCGAGGATCACGTCGTGTGGTCAGTAACGATCGGAAGGGTCTAGAGACGAAGGTATTTGTAGGATTAATCGTAAAGAGAACTTGTGGGAGAAAAATGAAAATATTCTCATCGAGACTCGTGAAGAAAATGAAGGTTCAGCCTCGTGGATAGACCCGGCCGACGTTCCCGAATACACCTCGATAAGAAAAAACTTCAACTGTTACGAAAATAATAAAATATCGAAGGAATTGGCAGAGAAGTGTGAATGATTTGAGCTGATGTGGATCATCATCATGTCAATTGTTAATTGCTGGATTATCTCGATGAGTGGAAAATTTTTTATGGCAATTTTTGGAGACTACGCAGAAGGTTTCTTGATCTTTTGGGCTGTATTGTTAAGAACAAATTTAAATTTCAAAAGCGAAACGGTCAAATGGTTGAAGTTGATTTTTACTACTGGTTAGTTTTCAATAAATATGTCGAAATGTAAAGGAGATGGCAAAATTTTTGTCATGATCTTTTTTGTAGCCCTCAATTCGCTCTACAAATAAGGTCATTACGAAAATTTTGTTATCTATCTTGGATTCAGAGATATTCCTCGAAAATTCAGCTAAGGGCCAAATCGACTTAAAACGTTTTACTGCTTCGCTACTGGTTTCACGAACAGTTTAGTAGTAATTTTCAGGGGGGCGACATTGAATTTGATTTAGGGGGAAAATCATGGAATTTCAAATTTTACAGAAAATTCCACTGAATTTTCAATTTAAGTAAATTGGGAAGAAATTTCATAGACCTCTTAATTTCAGTAAATTGGGAAATTCTATGGAGTTTTCTGTAAAATTTGAAATTCCATGATTTTCCCTCCTAAAATTTTCAATCGAAGCATGAATTTATAGTAACAAATTACTTTGAATTTTCAATTGATTGTAAATTCCAAAATGTATTGAACAGAATTTTCCTGTTTTCTATTAATTTTTTTAGGATAATTGGACCGAAATTACCACTTCCCATAATTTTTTTCATCAAACTGTGAATTTTTAATTACGAAATTCCTTGAAATTCCAGTGGAACAGTCACTTGATAAAAATATCTAAGAAATGAAATTTTAGCCAAGAATTTTTGTGATTGCACTACTCTTTTTCAGGATAATTACATCATTAAGACTGTTAGAGTCGACTGAATTCATCTCAATTGTTAATAGTTAATAGAAGCATTTCCGTTATGACTGACGTTAGAAAATAATGTTGAAGCACCTTTTTTGAAGATATGTTGTGGGCAACAGACAAATGACCTCAACATTTTGTTGTAAAATCATTCATTTCTGAGATAATCGCATAATTAACAAAGATTAAGATGGTTCAAGTCAACGTCATCCATCTTAATTGTTAATAATTCAATCATTTCGGTTGTGAATGATAAAATGTCAAAAAACTTTTTAACTTTGAGTTCCAAAAAAAGAGTTTGAATTCCGTCGAAAAATTGTTCCTTTTCAAGATAATAACGTAATTAACAGACTTTATATTCATCACTTCTCTATTGTAACAAAAATAGCATAATTGAACATTCGTTTGTGCGCCTAAGTAATTAATTAATCTTACACATTTCAATGTCGATCGAGTCACCTACTTGATTTTATTGTGAGCCCACGCACGCCTCTGTTCATAATGAATTTAATCTCATTTACATTTGATTATCGTTAATCATTAAAGAGGCTTAAAACGCTATGTTAGAAAAGAGATATATTTCTTTATAATCCCAGTACTCAAGAGAGAATAAAATTAACCAATATCAAATAAATGAGTAACAGAGGCAAACAAGAATGCAGTAACGAAAATATCCATTTGGAACAATAAAAAAAAATAGAATAAAAGAAAATAAAAGCAAGAAAACTCAAATGCCTCAGTGAATAATTCCAAATAGTTTCTGTTAACAAAACGTTCATGGCTGCTTTATAAAAAATATATGAAAAGACAATGAAATAGACAATAAAACACAAAACCTTCGGTAAAAAAAATAGTCAAGTGGTGAAACGAGATGAGTGCAAAAATTTTATACAGATTATTTTGCCCAGAGAAAAATCTAAAAAGACTTCTTGACATTTTTCTCTAAACCTAATAATTCCAGAGATATCCGCAAGACAATCTGTACAAACACTTTCTGTCCCATTTTCTCTTCTTTACCACTTGACAAGAGAATTTTAAAAACTATAAAAGCAAATGAATTCAAAAAGCAAAAAAATATGAAATTTTTTTTAGTGGTACAAAAATGATGTTAGACGATAACATATATTTTTTTCAAAAGCATCGTTCATGTATTTCAATATCTCTCTTCTATACAATATTGTTGTTATTTATATCATTATATCATTTTTTTACTCATATACAGTTACAGTTACAAAATATATATATATATATATATATCTTATATATATATAGAGATTAAAATTCGTTTATATAAAGGGAAAATGACGGGGTTCAGAGAGGGGGGAAATTGTCTTCAAATTTCAATTAATATCTAATCAATCATAAATTTGTTTCTCTCTCTTTTTTCTCGTAGGTTCACAATTTTCATCTTTTAACATTAAAACTCGAAAGTATGGACGACAGACTAGTCTCGATGAAAATATTTATACAAGTGACTCATGTTGATGATGACAAAAAAGAAAAAAAGTAGAAAAAAAAACAGAAAGACCCTTATGAAATGTAGTAATGATGTCCTTTCGTTCTATTTACATGCAATTGTCGTCTCGATTCAAACTTTCAGGTTTATACTGTTGTCAGTATTTTTTTGTTTGTTAAACCCAGAGGAAAAAAAAATAGTCTCGATTTTCATTAATTTATTAAGTCATCCCGCACGTCCTGCGGCAGGTGATGCAAGATCAATTATTCAGTAAAACGTCTCGTTTCCTAAAGCTGTCCGATAAATTTGTGAATTTCTTTTTACATTTCTCTAGGCTATTCGTTCACGAGTTCGTGTACTTTGAGGAAGTATATCACGTCCAGACGGATTGAACGTGCGAGAATGCACCGAAATAACATTTTTTTTCATTTGTTCTTGTTCAATTCGGGGGTGAAGTGACAAAAAGTAAGTGGATATTTTACATTTTCTTCGTTATCAAATTACCTCGATAATAAGTGATTGTAGGAGGAAATGTCCAGCGTACATTTCCCCTTGAAATTACTCACTGCTGAGTCACCCAGTAATTAACAAAATTAGTTATGTCAACTCAAACCATTTCAGTTTTTGTTAATTAGGTAATTATGTCAATAATGAGTGGGTTTAAGAGAAAATATTAGGAGACGGTTTCTGTTGAAAATTTCTTCAGCCGCAAAAGAGGTCTCAGACTTCTCTCAAGGCGAATCGTCCTTTCAATAAATACACAATTAACAAAAGTACTTCACCACAGAATTCCACATTGGCTCGAATTATCAAAAGGAAGAAATTGGAAAGAAAACGATCAATACGGTTTAATTTCGGCTTGTCTCATTCTGGCGGGAGGGGGCGGGGGAGGGGCGGTTGTGCAAAGTTATGAGCATTTATCAATTTTTTCGTCTAAAATTTCTCTCATTAGTTAATGCCAAATTGTGCGATCATTTATCTCTTTGTATTGTGTAACAAAGTTGTACGTTTTTCTCTTTTCATTTTCGTTGGGATGATTTTCCTTCTTTCTGAACATACACAAAGCGTCACGAGAAAGATACTCAATTAAATTTCAGTTTTTTTTTTCAAGAAGAAGAAGAGGAATTCGTTAAACAGTAATTATCACTTGACACGTTAAAACTCTCTCGTGTCCCCCTCAACTTTGCACAAAACCTACTTCCTGGTTTAACTTACATAGAAAATTAAACTTATCGAGTTACTTTGAACTTGTTGTTTTGCCTTTTTAATTGCCTCTCGTCTCCACAACTTTTTTTTTGTTTTCATTTCTGCATTTCAAAAATTTTCGTAGAAAAAGTTTTTAAAAAAACATTCGGAGCTTTCGAGATGTCTAAATGATTATGACTCTGCAAAATTTTGTAATTATGATTTTATTGATTCTTAGTTTAATTTTTTTTTTTTTTTCAATTTTTGAAGTTGAATGCTTTCTAGATCCACACAGTTTGTGTAAAAAAAATATTCTTTCTCCCTTTACATTCATCAATCGATGGTGATGTTGAACAGTACGATTTTTGGGTAGTACGAATTTCTCTATCATTTAAATAACAACATTTTTTAAAGATCAGTGACGGTGGGAATAGTCACACGAAGAGGTTTGTCCTTTAGGTATGAATTTTGTGTTTTCTTGCTTTTCTTTTCACTTTTATTCTTACAAATTACTTCAGAGACTCTACTTGTTTAATTAACTAACTCGATACGTATAAAAAATTCTATTTACACAAGTCAATGATTTCCTTCAATTATCATGTATCTATATATGTACACATTTTA